AGGTACACAACAGGATCTCACACCGCCTGGCTACGAACCCGATCTCAAGGCATGTGAGTCAAGATCACTCAAAGGACTTCACAAAACAACTCAAAATACACACCTTCAGAAAGCTATTATTTTATTAAAAAAATGGTCATCTTCATTTAAAAAATAATCTGTAAATTCCTACAGCTGAATAAGTCTTTACCAAAAAAGGTAATCTGCTTCCCTACACTTACAATTTCCTGCCCTTGCCAGAAAATCTCTGTGTCACATACTACTTGAATTTATTTTATAGATTTTAAAAATATATGATTCTATGATTACAGAAACAATCTCATTAACCACCTGGAAATGTTTTCACTGATATTCTGCCAGTTTAATGGGCACCCAGAGTTCACGTGGAAGGTTGAGAGCCATTGGATCTTGCTTTTTGGGTTGGCTAAGACGGTGAACCGGGACTTAACTGCTCTGACAGATGAGTTGATGATGGTGTTTCAAATTCCACGCACTCAATTAAAACCCTCTGTGTAAAGAAGGGCAGAGTGCACTCATGGGGCTGGAGAACAACTGAATTGCCAAAGAGCTGACAAATTATTTACACAAATTGAAATTTGTCTCATCTTTGTGTTGATTTCAGAGGCGTTGAATTTAACAGTATGAGGCATTTAAATGATGAAAGAAGCTTTGAAGAGGGCTTTTCATCCAATGCCAGGATGAGATGAGACTGGTACATAAACAATAAGCAAAGCAATTTAACTGCTGGGAACAATTTAATTATTGTGAACAATTTAACCTGCTGCAACAGAATCTATGCGATAACTGGACTCATTTGAATGCGTCAAACATTTCCTGACATGAGGACACCTCAATTTTTTACCCCAAAAGCTGTTGCTTTAATAGCTTCAGTGTCTGTGCAAATCTGGTACTTACTTCTAGCAGTAATAACGTATGTTTCAATGAAAAGTAGAAGGAGGAATAAAAATCACAGAAGACTTGGGATATGATAAAAGCATAGCTTTAATAATACTAAAGAGTGGATTAAAATGCTGCAAAGCAATAGGTTTTGACATGGAAACAAAGACACATCTGATGGTGATGTGTTCCACAGAGCTCTTTTTTCAGAGCAGGATGGTACTTTGAAAATATAGTCCAATTTACTGATTAAAGCATGTTTAGCACCAGGCAGTATCAAATACAGTGATGCATAGCAGAAGTACATACTTGATTAGAAATATAAAGTTGTCTAACAAGAACAAGGCCTCACTGTAAGGAATGATTAACTCCCACAGCTCCACTAACTTGAGGCAGAATTGTGGGTGTCCAACAACATATAATCATGGCCAGGAGCTCTCTCCCACATTAGGTCATGCTTCAGCATTTCTGGTCATCTCATCATGCCTGCTCCTCGTGCTCTAGCATGGCCCATTGAAGCCGCTGCGGTAGGTGTTGTAGCGGCGGTAGGGCCGGCTGTACCCGCTGCCCAGACTGGGATAACCAAAGCTCCCAAATCCCAAGGAGCTGCCGGAGGAGATGGGTACTCCCCCTGCACTGAGAGCACTCCCAACAGCCGCAGAGGCTGAGGATCCCACAGTAGTGTTCTGTGGGAAGGAGCTGAGGATGGGTCTGGGCAGGGTGACCACCACGGGAGAGGGCTGGATCACCACTGTGGAGTCCTGGCACTGGCGCACACAGGGCTCGTTGCAGCTGTTGGCCAGTGGGGTTGGACTGCAGGGCATGGAAGGACATCTCTCGTACCACGACATGTCTATGGATGGAGGTGGACTGGAAATACAGGACCAGAAGTGAAAGCAGTATAGGAGTCATATTGCAGTTATATTTCAGTTCAGGTACCAGGACCGCAGGAGTTTTCCTTGTGATTTTCCAAGAATCAAGTGAGGGAGGAAAATAACTTCTTTACTTCAAGAAGATAGAGGCTGAAATTGTCCTTTCTCAGTCATTGGTGATCCAATTGAACAGCTGGCAGCAGAACAAAATGATATGTACCTCTTTCATGACTTATCATGACAAGATTTTACTTCTTCACCATGGATGAAGCACAAAAGTAAGAAGTGGTCTTGTCTAATTGAGATATTATCACACTCTTCCAGTTTGCTATCTCATTTTGAGTTGCAGCTGCTATCACCCAGAGACATAAGCAGACCAGTTCTGAACCTGATTTCTCATGTCTTTCACAAAGACAACCTATAACTCCCTTCTGTATCATCTCAGACCACAAATATGAATAGCATTTTCCGAAGCATCTTGAGGACACACATGAATTTTAAATGATTTTTTAATATTACCCTCACATGAGTTTAACTGTGGAGTCATTGTGGAAAAAACCACGCAACAATTACCTGCTTGCCATCACATTTATTCCCCTTACAGCAGACTTCAGTGTAGCAGTGATTATATTCCAGACTGGAGCAAGTTCATCGCACAACTGGAATATATATTCACAGTTTTACTATTTTTGTTTGTTTGTTTGTTTGTTTGTTTAACTTGGTACTGTAGAGATATTCTGTACAGTTACTCCTTTATCCACTGCACAAGATGCAAGGTTTTGAGCCTCTTCTTGGAGAAGTTACTGAATATTGTGTGTGAGAACTCAGTGATATCTGAGAAATATAATTCATTTGGTCTTATGTTAATTAAGAACCTAAAGAAGAAAGGGTTCAGAATCCTTTGCCATTTCCATTAACAATGTGCATATTCATGTAATTAGTTATCAAGTCAAGAGTTATCAAATTGCTCATGATGTACAATGAAGTTTGAATGCTCTCATTGTCCATTTAATGGAATATCTTTAAAATCTCCTATCCAAGATCATCTTTTGCCATCTAGGTTCATATAGTGTAGAAATTTGTAATTTACTAGACTCTGTGAAAACTATCTCTGAACTATTGAAGAAAAATCAACTTTTTTACAAGCTTTAAACAATTTTTCCTATTTTAGTAACATTATCTAAAGTGACCTGCATACACACTTATATAGTTCCCTCCCTTTCCAGACCTAAATAATGATACCAATCCATAAATAAATATGTTGCACCCATGTTTTTGAAACAGAAGTTCTCTGTAAGTACTTATTGGCAAACTGAATAACTAATTTTCCCATAAAGCATGCAACAACGTCCATAGATGTTGCTTTCAACACTTCTGTTCTGCTTCCTTTTATTAATATAAGAGCTTCAATTTGGTATACTAACTCATTTCAAAACCCAGCTCTAAGATCACAGCAGTATTTTCAAAAAGACTCTTGAATTGTCTTCTGGTGGTGAACTGACTCCAGACTGGTCTGGTTGGCTCTAAGAAATCATCCAAGAGGCTTGGAACCCGTCTTGGAATTATATTTTTTTTAAAGAATGGTGAACAAATTAGATGGCAATTGTACTTAACTAGGTCAGACAGAGAACCACACACAAAGAGCTTTAATAAATGTCTTGGATTCAATCTTAGATTGTACTTCCAAGACACCTGCAAGCTAACAAATTGCTGAGGAGCAGGAAAGAATGCTTCATTAGACTGGGCTTTGACTCATTTCATACTGACACTAATGGAAGTATCAGAAATAAAAAGAATCCATAAACTGTGAAGATGAAAGGGTTTTAAATGGGTAGAGTATGTTTCTCAAGCAATGCCAGGACAAATGTAGACTGGAAAACTAGAAGCAGAATAATTTCATTATCAAGAAAAGATTCAATTTGAAAAACATACATGAAAACTAATTTGTTCATGAAATTGAGGATGCCTCACCAGTCTCAAATAGGCTGAGAAGTTTGTAAAATTCCATAATCATAATTATTACATCCATTTCTCCAATCTTAATGTGCAGAGGGGATGTGGATTTCAAGCTGACATTCACATTCTTCAAGAACTATCTGATGAAATGTTTAATAAAGGCTTTAACATCTTGCATAAACACTCCTTAGGGCCATAACATCCAAAGGTGGATTCATTCCAGGAGATATATTTATTTAAAATCAATCAGTGTTAATAAACAGACTTAAAGAAATACGACGAGGAACTTCTCCAAGCTCCTTCATTCACAGAATCATACAATCATAAAATCACGAAGATTGGAAAAGACCTCCAAGATCATCTAGCCCAACCATCTACCTCCCACCAGTATTTCCCCAATAAACCATGTCCCTTAGTTCCACATCAAGACAAGCATAAAAAAACAGACCATTCAGGATATGCCACTGTGGGACACAGGCCACTTGCCCAGGCTTCTCATTCTTCTGAAATATATTTTCATATTCTTAATGCTACATGTCTATCACAGAAGACACCTCCATGCCACCAAGAACAAAAGCATTCCTGGATGAATATCAGTATGATCAGTGATTCCTCACAAATCTGAGTGAATACCTAATTTCTTCAATCACATCAATTTTATCAACAGGATGACATAGATTCCAGTATACTTCCTACTCAGTATGATTATTCCTAATCAGACAATTCCCTTACTCAAGTGAGAATTTACAGTTTGATTACTCCACAGATCATTTTTTTCATGTAACGGTATATTCCACCATAAAGAGAGAGAGAGAAACAAGGACTAAAAAAGAGACAAACAAAACAAATTAATATGCAACATCAGTTTAATGAAAAAGTTATGAAGTACTCTACAATAAAAAGCAAAATATGTTTACATGAAGGAAGGAAACCATTTAAGCCATTCTAAATGAAGAACAGAAAGCAAGATTGATTTCCTAACACATGAATTAAGAACCCTAAACTGGTAATTTATAAGCAGAGCTTTAAATAAAACCAATCAGAACCCAAAATTTAAATGCACAAAAAAATGACCTACAAGAACATTTTTGAAAATGAAATATCCAGCATAATTGCAATCAGAACAGGATGATAATTTATCTTCTGTCTCTGCTTTGCAGGAGGCCATAAGGGTGCTCAGCCCATCTGGAAACTTTGGCCAGCAGCTCCGTCCTTAGTCCGGGGCCTGACTTCAGGCTTCCTCAGGGATAAGCTCAAGGGAAATTGGTGTTGCCTTTAATAGGGCAGGCACCTCCTGCCAGAGAAGCGGCTGCCCAGGCCAGAGATGCCAAAGCCACCGGAGGAGATGGGCACTCCCTCCTCACTCAGGATGCTGCCAACAGCAGCAGATGCTGAAGATCCCACAGCGGTGTTCTGGGGGAAGGAGCTGAGGATGGGTCCGGGCAGGGTGACCACCACGGGAGAGGGCTGGATCACCACGCGGGAGTCCTGGCACTGGCGCACACAGGGCTCGTTGCAGCTGTTGGCCAGGGGGGTCGGGCCACAGGGACGGCACAGATCGTAGCAGGACATGGCTGTGGGATGGAGGTGGACCTGGAGAGGGGACAGCAAAACACACATGGTGTGAGCAGCAGCCTAGTGTCCTGCTCACAAAGGAAGGAGACACAGACTGGGGAGCAGGGACAGGTAATGCAAGGTGAGAGAATGTCTTAACAACCCAGATCCCCTAGAAGCCCACCTGAGTCACCCAAGGCCTTTCCCCCACCTCCTCCCACACTGGCAAGCAGAACAGAGTTGGTGGGGACACCATCGAGGAGCAAGGCTCACACCAAGGCTTGCATAGAAGGAAAGGCACTTTGGAAAACAGAAGAGCAAGGGGAGAAGCAGAGAAAGAGGAGGGTGAGAAGAAGGCCACTGCAGCTCACCTTGTTCACCAAGGAGGAGAAGGCAAGAGAAGTGGATGAGGGAGCCTGGTGCTGGACTGGCTTTTATACCAAGCAGGACTGCCTCAGGCCCAGAGGCAACCCATGCGTAAGTAGCTGTAGAAGGGCAAGCCCATCTGTATGCAAAACAACACAATTATAGAAATTGATGCCTTATTCCTCCTCCCGACAATGCCACTTCTCCGTTTTCATTTCCCAGTTCATGACAAATCCATTTTGCCACACAAGCTCCTTTCAAGTGACAGAATTAGAGGCCTAAGCATTTCTGAGGAAGGAACTCAAAAGCATGGGGAGAGAAGATGAAGGCAAGGGGATGGAGATGGCCAATGCTTTCAGCTGGTGACAGCCTCTCATTTCCCTGCGACTTGCTTTAATGCTTTGCCCCAGTGTGTGGGGCATCATTTCCTTGCATGCATGGCCTTAAAGATCAGACTTCCAACAAGGCTCATATGCAAAGACAACACGGCCTTCACTTCACCCATCTACGTGCTCAGGCTGCCTCAGCTGGAAGCTGTCCAAGGATGGATGCTCTGCTTTCTGAACCTAGCTATTCTATTACATCTAGCACTGCTCTCAGGAGACCAAAGCCTCGCTATTATTTCTCTCCCCTCTTTCAGCAGCTGATAGAGGTCCTGACCCCAGAAAAGGCATATTTCACAGAAAAGGACATTGCACTCTAACAACTAAAAATAAGTTGAGCACTCCTAATGAACTGCCAAGCCAGCCACAATCAAAACCAAAAATAGACTCGTTCTGCACAACCGCCATGTCCATGTTTTGCATCCTCCTTTGCCTTTACATCCTGACACCAACAAACATACAGCAACATTGCCAGGCTGCAAACACACTTGCCCAGAAATGATGGTGGTCTGGGAGTGCCAGCAAGGGCAGCAGGGACAGCAGCAGGAGTCAGGTTGTTCCAAACCTATGTGCCCAAGGTGGACATCAAGCTCTATGCAGTGTTGGCTTGAGGTGACAAGTGTCCTGAGGGAGTGACTGCCCAACAGGCAATACCCGACATACACACCTCAGGCTCCAGCCAGGCCACAGCCCACCACAGTGACAAAATGTCCTCTGCAATTATGCTGAGACTCCACCAGGCACTGGTATGTCTCTCATCATGGAGACACAACCAAATGTCTCATTTAGGAAGATGAAGAGAATGGAAACCAGGAGCCACACCACCATTGGACCTCATTACACAGTGCCTGAGCAAGGGAGATGCAGAAATGCCAGACAGGTTCACCAGAGATGAGCTCAACATTCAAGTTTGCAGAGCTATGGCAGCACTGATGCCAGGCCAGGAAGTCAGGGCACAGCTCATGTTCCAATGCTGTGACAGTAACATAGACCAACACGCCTGACCACTGTCAGAATAATACAGATTGACTGAAGAGGTTCCTGGGCAAAAGTGCATCCAGTCCAAGAGGACCCTTGTGAGGCATAAACCAACCTGTCTGAGAACTACAGCACCAGAATGGTGTACCTGAGCTGGTGAGAAGGCTGAGAGCTGAGGGCAGAGGTGAAATACAGGCCACGGGGTCAATACGCCTGAGTTGGAAACCCCAGGTGAGCATGAGGGATCATGGGCCTTTGGGAGTTCTCAGATCACTGATGTGCCTATTTAAGAAATCTCCCATGAACCCAGGACAAAGGACACCATCTTCATCTGCCACGGAAAAGGAAGGGAGGATTTCCATTGTCCTCAACAGAAGCTTTTGTTAATTTGTATTTCTATGTAATTTTGTTAATTCATATTTTTGAAAAATATGCCCTTGTTTCTCGGGATCTGCCCAAATGTTTCTGGTGCCCTACAGCACTCTGCCACCCACGTCCATGAGGTGCGCGGATTGCCCTCCATCCCAGAAACTGTATTTTATGTACATTTTCCTCCTACTCTCAGCTCACAATGGCTTCACAACAGGTGGCAGGCATTGCAGGGCTTCCCACAGCCCACGGCGCAGCTGCAGAGCTGCCGTTCACTCTGCCTCCAACAGCACTGGGAGGCACAGACAAATGCCTCATGTAAGGTGGGCTAGAACATACACGAACTAGAGCTCTGTACCTTGCTTTCTCCTGAACTCCCTGTGGCAAGAGCAACCATCACATCTGCTGACGTGAGACAAAATAGCACAGGCCACTCCACACTCAAACCGCCCCGTGTCCCTCTCTGATGCTGGTGACTTGGCATACGTGGACCAAAAGGCCAGATGGCACAACGCTTGCAACCAGAAGAATTTTTCTTCCCAAGTTCACACCGGTCAGTCAATGACTTGTGGAATGCCTTTAATTCAGACATGCTGGTCAGGGGTCCTACAAAACCAGGTGAAGTACTGGGAGCAGAGCTGAGCTTCACAACCCAAGATCTCCCATTTCTCTTTCGGGAATGTCTTTGGGCGTCTTACGAAGGAATTAACAAAAAGAGACCGATATTACAATGCAACATAATATTTATTGAGTTTGAAGATAGAAACAGATCATTGCATGGTCGAAGGGATATGGTTTAAGTTGCTATGAGGGCAGCTGCAAGTCTGATTGACCTTCAGCATAATGGTATGCATATCTTCCTCCCTCACATGGTGAGAGGGAGAAGAATCAGGGCCATCGCAACTTGCTTCAGGATGAACCCGAGGCACAAGACAGCAGGAGACAACAGGGATGTGTGATGATGACAAGAAAGTGGGAGAAGAAGACATCTGGTTTCTGTGTTTCCAGACATTGCAGGTTGGCAACCTGGCATCCCTCTCTGAGTTACAGAAGGTCACAAAGATGCTCAGCCCATCCGGAAATTCTGGTCAGCAGCTCTGTCCTCAGTCTTGCGTCTGGCTTTGGGCTTCCTGGGGGATGCGTTCATGGAAATTCCACCTCATTCTTAATAAGGCAGGCATCTCCTGCCAGAGAAGCGGCTGCCCAGGCCAGAGATGCCAAAGCCAC